CTCAACCTCTCATGTATCTAAAGTCCTGGTTGATTCCAGAGCTGCAGGTAATTTCATTGACACTACCCTTGCTCTCAACCAGAACCTGCCCCACTGCACATCCGAGCCCTAGACAGGGTCCTGATGGGGGCCAGATTGATAACTCATCATACCAAACTCGTTACCCTCCAGCTGGGTCTGTTCCAGCAGGAAATAGGTTGAAATTTTCCTGACTTGCGACCCAGTTGTTTTGAGTCATCCATGGCTGTGCCAACATGACATGCAGGTTTCCTGGCTATCAAGGCATGGGACCCTGCCTGTTTCACTTCCTGCCTCCAGCTCCCTGTCCTTTCCAGGACATTTTCTGTAAAGCAAACACCACTAAACTTCCACCACACCGTCCTTGAGACTGGCAACGGACCTGCTCCTTGGTTCTGCTTTTACAGAGTTTACCCACCCACCCTTATGGAGCTTCAGGCAATGGAACAGCTCGTTGAGGAAGCACTCTGATCAGAATTCATCCAGCCTCCATTTTTTGTAGAGAAGAAGGGTAGTTTAGCCTGCCTCTCATAGCCACTGTGTTGGAGCAAATTCGAGCAGCTAGTATTTTACGAAGTTGGACCTATGCAAAGTGTATAATCTAATTCACACCCAGGAGGGCGATGAATGGAAGGTGGCATTCGTAACCACCCACAGGCAAAATGAATATCAAGTTATGCTGTAAGGACTAGCTAATGCCCCAGCAGTGTTCCAGTCATTGATGAACACCAAGATATGATTGACTGAATCCTCACCATATACATGGACAACCACCTTATTTATTCATAGATGCTGATTGAACATATTCACCACGTCCGATAGGTGCTCCAACGACTTTGTGATCTCTCACTGTTCGTCAAAGCAGAAAAGTGTGAGTTCCACATCTAGTGTCTATCCTTGCTGGATTATACCCTCACTTCTGGTACTGTTTAAATGAAACCCTGGGAAGACTTCAAAGGTGTCAAATTGGCCTTTACTAACCTCCAAGAAAGAGCTGCAAATTGTTGTTCTGCTTTGCAAACTTCTACACAAGGTTCATCTGCGCACAGCCCTGACCCGTATATCTCATAAACTCATCTCGTAGAATTCAGCCTTCCACCAACTAAAGAAAGCATTCATGCAGGTTCTCATCCTCCAACAACTGAACCCTGATCTCCCTTTGCTTCCGATATGCTTCCAGTATTGGGGTGAGGGTCATATTGTCACAGCACATAGGTACAACTCCCAAGCCACACCCATGCTCCTTTTGTTCCCAGATGTTGACCAAAACGCAGTAGAATTACAAAGTACAAAACCATTCAAAAGTTCAAAAACGCTCAAAGTGTGGAGGCATTGGCTTTGGAGACTTAAATATCCCTTTCAAGGACTAGCCCTATGTCAAGTTTTCTGGGCCATGTTCTTTGACAACAGACAAATTTTCAGAAATGTTCCAAAAGTACCCTCTCCCACTGAGTTCACTATAATCATGTTCACGGGCGTCACTCACAACCATGTGAGTGATCCTGGCCCTTGGTTCACTTCTCGTGTCTGGTGGTGTCACCACTGAGTTAGTCTTCTGGCTGCCACCCACAAAACAAATGGACAATGTGAGTGGCTTAACCATGAAATTGGAAGATTCCCCCACTTGTATAATATAAAGGTCTCTGGAGGAGCAGCCAAGTATGGGAAGCTGATCACGTCCACCTGACCCGAGCGGTACGCCACCTGTAGGCCAAAGTGGATTGTCATTGGGTTCTGTAAGGCACAGCTCCAGTCCTCCATCTCCACCTCCACAACCACGCTCCCCTCTTCACTGTTTCAAATCGCCTAAATATTACCACCTGCAATTCATTTACGTTTTCCATGATTTCCCCCGTACATATAACCCTGTCATTCCCCACATTTCATTGCGAGGAATTGTCCCCATGAGCTATTACTGAGCCTTCCATTATCTCCCTGTACTTTCCCGAGTGCTTGTATCTCCTTCAGTGTTCTTCTGTGTGCATGTGATTCCCAGTGCCCATCCCAGTAAGCGTGATCCCCTGATCCACTCCCGGTGTAAGTAGGTATCTCTGCTTCCCTGTTTTGGCACATGTGCCCGCCTTTGCCTTCGTAACGTACTTTTGACTCCACCTCCCATCTCTTGATTCTGCTTCACGGCTGCTCTACATTTGGATCCCCGAGGTCCCCATATTACATATATCCGTCAGCTAGCACAAGCTTACACACCCAACCTTGATCTAACCATGGTCTTAGTAATCCAACTGCAGTCACACATAAAATAATTGATCAATATTTTATAAAGATTGTAAAATGGAAATGGAATGAAATACTCTAGTTTCTGTTTCTACAAACACCCAGCATGCAAAAATATAAAAACGTGGCTCAGTTTTTCAGTTATACTGATTTGTGATTTGTTGTATAGTTTTTACTTTCTGAATGCAACATTCTTAGTTTCTTCAGGTGAAAGAAAAGACTCCAAAAGCTGGGTGTGGCGCTAAAAGACACATTTTTGAAGCCTTCAATCCCACATGTGATGGACTGATTGTGTGTCAGTAGCCCAGTTAAATCATTTTTGTTTTCTTGCCTAATTATTTTTCTGGCTGAGACCAGATGAACCAGGTTTAAGAATACATGAGCCAACAATGAGCCAAGATGTTCTAGAAATGTTGATGTTCTTGGCTTGCAGTAAATCATCAGTTGCAGACCAAAAGGAGCAATTTCTGGCGGATAGTGAATCCATCCATATATTTTCTTTACTTGCTTGTCCTGTACCCACAGACCAAAAGCATCCATCCATCTTCCAACTCACTTATCCTACTGGGTCACAAGGGGTCCAGAGCCTATCCTGGGAGCAATAGACACGAGGCAGGGAACAACCCTGGACAGGGGGCCAGCCCATTGCAGGGCACACTCACACACACCATTCACTCACGCATGCACACCTATGGGCAATTTAGTAACTCCAATTAGCTTCAGCATGTCTTTGGATTGTGGGGGGAAACTGGAGCACCTGGAGGAAACCCCATGGGGAGAACATGCAAACTCCACACACGTAATCCAGATGGAGACTTGAACCCGAGTCCCAGAGGTGCAAAGCAACAATGCTAACCACTGCACCACCATGTCACCCCAGACCAAAAACATCCTAAACTGAACTGGAATTTCCAAATTCCAGTGAAAGTGTGTGTGTGTGTGTGTGTGCGTGCGTGCATGCGTGCGTGCGTGCATTGAAATGAATGAGCGGTCCCCATAAGGACATGTTTACCCTACATGTGCGTGAGTGCGTGTGTGTGTGTTGGGTTGGCGCCCCATCCTGGGTTGTGAGTCATGTCTGGGTAACAGAGGGAAAACACCCCACACAATGGAAAATAATTGCCAGATTCTGTGTGTCAGTGTTTTTTGCGATACGAAAACAAAAACCAAGGGAAAAATAAGTGCAATTTCCTAACTTCTGCTAAAATCACCCTAGTATTTGCAGCAACCATCCAAGACACCCATGCACATCTCATATAGCCAATCAATATCTCATTGACTTTTTTAACTAATTAAATTAATGAATTAAATGAGCTGGTGGTGAACTTTAATAAATACATGCAATGGCTGGGGTGCTCCTGGGGAGAGGTTTGGGATCTGAAGTAGCGTTCATCTAGCCATACAACTAGATATCAGTAACTTCTTGGGAAAACAGACGAAATTCCAGTTATTATTGTGTTGCTCTTCATTTGTTATAATGGTAAATTATATTTTTGTTCCGAGCAGTATTTTCAGCAAAATGTGAATATTGTTCATATTATAGCCAGGTGTAGGGTGACCAGATAATCTGTCAGGGGAACATTATGAGTTAGGACAAGATTTTGTAAACTACTGTACTAAACGGACCTGTATTTCACTTTTTGGAAGCCTTTCTTGCTATGTCCTGATTGGTCAGTCTCCTTTAATCATGCATATGTCATGCATAATTTTATTGCAAAACAGCTGGATGAGTCTTTCAGTCAAGGAAACAAACCAGTTAACGCACAAGAACTGATCTATTCAGTCAAGCACAGGAGCCTTTCAGTTTGAAAGTAGCTTGGAAAACCTGAAGTAGCTCAAAGTGTCCTCCCTGACATGGATTTATCTGGTCACCCTAACTGTGAATAAGCAAAATGCTTGCTGATAAAATCCTCTGAGTACAAAGAACATGGACAGAAAGCCCATCGCAGGATGTAGGACTTGCCAAGTAAGGCAGAATGCCTCTGGATCATCCCTAGAGATGCCGCATCGGTCCAAATACTTAGTAAGGCCATGTGAAACAGGAGCGCTGTCGCACTCATCCTGTGTTCAATATGTTCAAGTTAAATATGCATTCTGTGTATGACACAGTGACCTTCCAAAATGTGCAATTTAATCCAACTACATTGAATAATTTAGCATTTGTCAGATATAGCATAAACTTTAACATTTAAACAAACTTTTGCGATGGCCCATAACATTCACATGGGTTGTGAGACCCTTTCTTTTCATTTTGTTTGGTGTGGACAACAAACAGTCAGTATTTCCTGGGGAGGCATGTTTTATGTATATGTCATTATATGTAGTCTGTTTGCTTCCTTTCATTTTGAATATAAGGCCTCCAGCAAGCTAAAAGGAATTTCTCACTGACCTATAATCTTTGTGTTGTGTTTGCTCAAGCTGTGTATCCAGCCATTACTGGTGTCACTGATAGGACGTCGATGATTTTGCATTCGGTCCATCTGCAAAACAAACGTCGTAACAGGCAATAAAAACAAAGCACATTTGGCTTTAAACAAATAAAGGACAACGTTGTGTGTGTTGTGCAATTTATTGCCAAATATTAAAGCGGAAGGAAATGTATAACATAATTATCATATACTTTCATGAAGAATATCAAAATAATATTACATCGAAATGCACGTGTGCAGGTTGCGGATGTGTTCGAGGGCTTCTGAAATGGCATTGCACAGCCATGAAATGCATCCCGATTCCACAGATTTCATTGCAACTGACAGAGACACCAGTGTATTCTGCTTAACCCACCGCACCCCTCCCGCATCCCCGCGATTCACGGCGCTCGGAGGAGGGACTCAACTCAGCTCCGTTCAAGGACTGAGATCACATTATTTCAAAACGCGAAGACCGCCGGGGACTTGGTGCGTTTATTGCGGCTAAAAGAGATTTAGCGGAAAACAGCGACGGTATCGGAAAGGGACACTGTTTTAAAGCATAACGCGATTACCGGTGGCCTTGGTCAACTGGTGCAACCAGTGGAGCACCTCGAGGTGAGTACGTGCGTCTTTACCATCACATGACAGCCGGCACGTTTGGCAGAATTGAGCGCAGTTCATTTTAAAAATATACTGCAGCAGTCGCGCCGTACACATCTCTTATGTTAACCAGCCTTTGTTATGTTTAAGCTATGCTATTAAATGATCAGCTTTCACAGACAAGTGAATTTTACGCGGTGCACAGTTATGTTTATTTTCATACAGATTACAAAATGTTACATACTTATTAATGTAACATGTTTTTTATGTCCGGCCTTTTAAATTGCAATAACACATACAACGTGACTGAATTTTACTACCGTCTTATTGTAGCCCGTCACTGACCTGTCAGCAATAATATTATGTTCAAACTCGGTCCTATAGTCGGACACGAGTTGTGAACAGCATAGATCAAGTCGAACAGTATAGAAAAGCAAGGTGTGATCTGTTGATTTCTTTTAAAACCAGGCACGGCATGGGAATCATTCAGGATGTAGTCGAGAACGTCAAAGAAGAGGGAAAATACTGTCGAACGAAATAATCGTCAACAAACTCCTCAAGAGCTGTTTTTTATAGCGAGTAAAAGGACAAGTGATGGCACCCCAAGGTTTTAAGTGTAAAGGGTAATGGGGCAGAATGAAGAAAGAAAATCAAACATTTAAATTAAAAATATATTTTTTCTTTATCCTAGAAACTAAAATGACTGCTTTAACTAAGTTTCTAATGTTTTCTAGAAATTAAGCAATCATGTGAAAAAGATATGGGTAACACTCTAGATCACCATCATCTATGTATGCTGATAAAATCTAACAAATTAATTCTTGATTTTTTGCTTCTTATAATGTACAATTACCATGACAAATTTTTGAAAAAACATTTATCCATTTTGATAAAAAAAAATAGCAAGTCTATTTAACAGCTGCTAATGGGGCCAAGAGATTGTCTGTTGCATAAATCTCCCATGTTAGTCACGTGGTTTAAGTAGCTGAGTGAATTTTGCCACAATGGAAGAGAGCAGTGTTGGCAACTGGGTCTCCATCATGGCAAACGGAAGCGGCATTCTCACCCCGGCAAACTTGGTCCTCGACTCCCGAAATGCCTCCACTCCATCAGCATGGTGGGGCAACACGAGTGCCAGGGAACTGTTTCTGGAGAAGCAACTTCACAGCCAGGAGCAAACCTACCGGGACTTTGTTACCACCATCCAAGTCTTCATCTTTGTAGGATCCCTTTTGGGTAAGAATCTCATTGGCTACTTGCTTGTCACATGATCTCTAAACATCCAGGCATTAATATAGTCTCTCTTTTCTGTCACTAATATTCTCTTGATCGGCTGATCGGGATTGTGTGTGTTGATACTGAACCTGGACAGTTCTGAACCCTCTTGCAATTGTGAAAGTTGCCTGTAAGACTTGTTTTAATAAATGGAAATATCACTGGAGCTAGACTTCCTGACACAGGCCATCTTGTGCTAGGCTTGTCTCACTTTTACCAGAACCAGTGACCTCAACAAGTGGAAGCTAACCAGACATATTGGACAATAACAAAAGGACGTATTGGTGCGTTGGTGGCACTGAAGCCTTATTGTGGTGTCTACATCTTGATAAGGTGCCTGAGTGTTACCCAGATCTCCTGAAAAGGAGCCAGTATCCCTATGAAACAAGTAATCAGCCATAGCAAACGCTTAATTATATGTTGGAAATGGAATAATTTGCAAGTTGATTATGCTTAGCCCAGGTAGCCTCCGCAGCTGCTGCCTTAACGTTGTTTCGGGAGAGATAGCTTGTGTCTCTAGTTGCAGCTCTATGCATAGAATGGCTGTTAGCATGGCTATTAGCATGGCTGTTAGCATGGCTATTAGCATGGCTGTTAGCATGGCTATTAGCATGGCTGTTAGCATGGCTGTTAGCGATCGTGGGTCATTATCCACATTCATTGATGAGCTTGTACATTTCGTCATTCCTGGTGTTTACCTGACTTCTCTTTACCCAAGTTCATAAATGGGCCAGATGAATCCTTTGGTTTTTTTATAGCATGTCTCCCATTTCCGATGCTAACTAGATGCTGTCGAAACAATAATGTACAGTATATCCCTGGATGCCCCTGATACCCTCTCCCCCCGATGTAATCTGTACATCCCCCAACCTCTACAGTCTCTAGCCCCTCTACATACTCTCCCCACCTCTCTGAAAAAACTTTATTAAAAGCACTTTGTATGACTTGTCTCAATGTAATCAGGTTCACCTGATCGGTGTCTGTTGCTGTTCTTTCATATAGCACTACTAAGTTCAGCTGGTTTAATTTTGGTGTGAATTGTCTCAAATTAAAATAGGCCCCAGGTCAGAGCTGCCACTAATGACAATTTTTCTATGGATTAATCTAACGATCATTTTATTAATTTTCCTCCAAAAAATTCAAACTAATTTTTATTTTGACAACAACATACTGTATGCCACTGAAGGGTCTTCGATAACGGACACCAGCTTTTTGGAACTATACGGACATTGTTTTCGCCCACAATTCGATATTAGTAGTATGACTGAAATATTAATGAGATGTGTATTGTGATGCCCAAAAGTTAGTAATCTGTATAAATTCGGCGTATCCTTATGCTTAATAAATTAATTTAGCAGAGTGCACCACATGTGACTGTTATGAAAGTAGCATACTGAAGTCATGGAGAAGAAAGGGATGGCTCAATGGCCACAACATCTTTTACAAGAGGAGAGATTGTGGTTAAACAAGGTAAAAGATGTTGGCAAGTGACAGTACTTTTTGTAGTCCAGTACTTTTTTTGGTAAATATAGTTTTCATGTTTATTTCATTTCACAAATTATTTTCTTTTATTTAGTGTCTGTTTGCGCTTAAGTTTTACTTTACAATAACAGCACTGGTCCCCAGGGTTGCCAACTTTCACGCATCTGGCTTGACACTCACGCTTTCAGAGTCTCACACTCATGGAAGAAATCTTACGGCAAATTCTATCGTATTCCATCATAAACCTAAAATTAGCAACATCAAACAAACAAACTAAACATAGTTTAGTTATATTTAGTTTAGTGGTGGATCGGTCCTATCATCATATGTATTCCCTTTGTGGGGAATATAAAAATTCTTGTTTCATGGGGGCATCTCTGGCATCCAGCTCCATAGCCTCCTCACAAAAAATGTGGATGTGACACCCTTTCCTTGGGTGAAAGGGTTGTAGAGTGCTGAGGAGTGGTCCAGCCAGTTCTATAGGGTTGCCACCAAAGACCGTAGATGCGGTACTGCTGAGTTTAATGGGGCTGTTTCTACACGTCTTTTGAGTTTCTGAAATCTGTGACACATGAGCCGAAACGGACTAGTGCTCAGGAACAAAGAGCTCTTGTGCTGGTTCTATTGTGTTCGTGTCATGACTTAAGATGTTGTAATTAGTGCCTGCTTGGTTTGACCCTGTTATATGAAACTCTGCTTATCTTTTTTTATTTTAAACCAAACCACTTGATTATAAATATCGCAAATAATGCAGAGAGACATTTGTTAGTGAATCTCAGAATGAGTTTTCTGACATTTAAATGAATCTCTAGGTGTTTATCAATATATGAGATTAAGGCAGGATCATAGGAACCGGGGGCGGGGGGGGGGAATGAGAGGACATGCACCCCCATATTTAATTTGACTTCATTTGTCCCCACAGTAAACAGACCTGAATATTTAAATTCTTAAGTTGTGTCGCCCCCCCGGATCTAAAACTCACCTACATCATTCAATTATGGGGGTCACATGAAAAGCAGATATCTTGGTACCTAGTATCTAATATTTTGCTGTGTTTGTCCTTCACTATGAATGCTTTAAAGGATGCATGATACATGATACACTGCATCTAGCTTATTTATGAAGGATATTTACCATTTAATGTGTTGTTTACATATCACGTCAGTGTTAAACAGAACAGTGACCACTCAGTGGGGGTGCTTCATGATCTAGCCGTAGCAGTGGAAACCTCCAAGAATGAATTACTTCCAAGTGTGAATTTGCTTTTGTGGCCTATACAGTTCCAGCTGAAATACACTTCTGAACGTGGAAGCCCACTTGGGATAATTTCAAGTGACGTTTGTTCACATTGAGTGCTGAGAAAAGCTTGAGGTGTTTTCTGCTGAGCAGACCTGTATTCTGCTTTGGGGATCAGAGGGAGAGAGCGAGGGAGAGAGCGAGGGAGAGAGAGAGAGAGTGCTGGTGTTAACGCATGACCTGGAAAGTAATAGTATTGATTTTCAGCCTGCCTTTCAGTCAAACAGACAAAGTTGAAGAGAAATTGATTTCATAATCTTGTTTCCCACCAAGAACATAAGGGAATTCTAATAATGAGAGATGATTGTTATGATTATGGGGGGAAATACCTGCCCACTCTTACTTTAGGCACCTTTTCAGAATAATAAAAACATTGCAGACTTGCAGTGAACTTCGCTTGCTGGACTGTAAGAGTAAATAGGCACTTTCTGCCTGATATGTGTTTTGCTTGATATCAGACTGGTGGTCATATGCATTTGTGGGTAACTGCATTGCATATCATTTTTACGTGGACCCCATAAAGGTCTTCATAGACATTTAATTTTTTGTTTGTCTCGACTTGTTTGTTCAGTCCTCATGTCTACAAATGAATGAAAAATGCCATTGATTTTTGTTTGCTTCCTGTGACTGAAGGGTACCTTTAAACTCAGCTGGGAGTGGAGTGAATTTGGTAGATCTGGGCTGATTTTTTTCAGCGCTCCCTAATATGGTCCCTGTAATTGTTTACTCTGGCAGTCGGACACAGTTCTATAAATAGTTCTATAGTTACAGAACAAAATTACAGGCAAACAGATTGTGACTGTGGTATAAGTCTCCGCTGAACTCACAGATGCTAATGTGAGTTAGTGACCCCCCCCCCCACCCCGGGAACCTCAGTCCTGCATGTTCCCTGGAGGCTGGAAGCTCAATGAACACTATCAGCTTGACTTTGATTGGCAGCGCTGACATGAATACAGTGGGCTCCATATATTTATTTTCACCGCTGACTGGAAAATGTACTAAAATACTATGAAATACAGACATTTAGTGCCATATGACGATACATATCGGATGACGAAATAAAAACGTCTATTGTTTCATGCTATGTTCTATCGTTATTTCGTGGTGTCGCAAAATACACCGTTTACGGCAACATTTTTTCATCATTTGGATAACAGTTTCAGGGTCACACGCCTCGTGGGATGTGGGACTTGCGCGGAAGTTTTTACTGGACTTTATTATTTGTAACCCACAGAAGACAATTCACAAATATGTATCATGATCCACAAATATTTAACTATCCACAAACGTGTATTTTTTAAATTGTGATGTGTAAACGTGTTTTGCACATTTGTGGATCACATCCAGTCTATTTGTAAACCTTGTTACATTTGTGACATCCCTCCTATAGTTATTTACAATTTTTTGTCCAGTTCCTACCGCTACGTACAGAGCCCCTAGGACGTCTGAGTAGGAAAATAGTTTTATGTTCCCTCTCAATAGTTTTACGATCCCAGTATACACTGGCTCACTTGCTTTTTGCTGTAACGTGACGGCATGAATAAACCTAAATAATGGATTTATAAGCTTCCCTCTTCAGTTCAGCCCAGAGGTTTTCCATCCGATTGGGATCTGGTGACTGAGAAGGCCATTGCAGAACCTTGATTTTGCTGACGTTTCGCCGTTTCCCATTCCGTCACAGGCAACTCCATGGTGCTGTGGTCCACGTGTCGCATCACGGCGTTCAAGTCAGTCACCAGCCGCTTGATCAGGAACCTGGCGTGCACGGGCATCTGTGCCAGCCTGGTATGCGTGCCCTTCGACATCCTCCTGAGCAGCAGTCCACGCTGCTGCTGGTGGCTCCACTCGTTGCTCCTCTGCAAGGTCATCAAGTTCCTCCACAAGCTCTTCTGCTCCGTCACAGTCCTCAGCTTCACCGCCATCGCCCTGGACAGGTACAGTGACCCTGGACAAACGCATGGCTGGACTTCCGTAAAAGAGCAGAGAAAAATAAATTTCTCACATACAGCATCATTGAAGTCAAAATCTGTATATGTAACTGTAACGTGTTCCTTGTTATTATGAGCCCCACAAAAATGCATTTTTCTAAGAGTGTTTCTCAAACTGGTCATTGGGACCCCCATTGTTGCTCATACAAATGTCACTGTGCTCTTCTAAAAAAGGGGAGTGGACAAAACAGGACCCAGGCGAAAGGTACAGATTTCTGTGGTCACATGATTCCTCGTATGGATTTGGGAAGTGGCAGTGAGAGAACTTGGAATGCCTACAAAGAATTAGAAATGACTCACAAAGAGGAGAAACTTAACTTCTATGATTTGAGGTATTTAGGAATTGATTCGGAATTCTTTGAGGTATCGATTCAGAGTTTTTCCCCAGGTCGGTGTAACAACTTTCAAATGGTAAAATAAAAGATTATCAGTTGTAACAAAGGTCGATTCCACCCACATGTAGACCAGTGGAATAAATTCACCAGTTCTGGAAATGACATGGAGATTTCATCACACACCTAAGCGCATGCAGGTTCTTTATATAGAAATAAAAATCATTGAGTGGGGCCAGTTACACACTAGAGAACAGGATTCTGCTGCTTTTGAAACATTTCAGAATACAGCCTTTTAACTTGAATGTGTAATGACTCCCACCTCACAGCCCAGGGGTTAAATAAGGAAACAGTCCACTGTGGCTGGGGGGGGGGATGTCCACTAATATGTTCATTGATTAGATCCGTAGTGTCCCAGTGGTGGAATAAGCAAATCCAATACCCTGATTAGGCATTTTCACACCCTGAGCTTAGTTTGCTCTGTGTTATGATGTTTTCGGTCAGTCACCTTAGCCAATCACTGACTCGTTGCTAATGGGATTATATATTTTCAAGCATCAAGCAGGTCCGTGGGTCTGACGAGTCCACATGAAATGCGGGTGTTTGAGGAGAGCTGCTGCGGTTCTGACCCAGTCAGAATGGTGATAAAGTCTTGCTTTGATGGGTACACGGCTGGCTGCTACTCGGTGCTGTTAGGTTTTTTTGAGGCCCCCTCGACCCTGACTGCACATGATGCAGGATGACACGGGGACACGGTGGCGGATGTGAGAGCTGACACAACGGCTGGCAGGAGGTCGGACACGGGGGCAGATGATTGGCTGATGGCGGGGTGGGGGAGGGGGTTGTCAAGAGAGGGAAGCCGCACCGCGAGGAACCACATAGATTCACAAGTGACGGACGCCGCCCGCCCTGCTTCCCCGCCGCGTGAATAATTCATGAGGGAGTGTGGTCTGGATTTATCACGCTTATCTGTTGATCTGTGCCTGAGGGGGAGAACATGGAGAACATGGCTTCCCAGTGATTGACGGCGAATTTAAGGCGAGGGCTCCCAAGGGTACGAAGACTTCTGAAAAATTCAAAGCAAACGACCTATTGCGGTAGACAAGATTGTTTTCACATTCATCGATGAAGGATGCCAGCAGTGGAAAAATGTTGATTGTATTAGAAATATTAAAGTGACTAACAGGGTACCCTTAGCTCCCCAGTCTTTAAAATACAGCATGTAAGTTCGGGCTGAAAGCAGGCAGGTATGTTAGTCGCTAGTGTTGAACTTCACTACATTTCTCCGTTGTTTGCATGTAGCTGGGGCTTCACGATGCCGCTTCTGCAGCTGCGCCTGACTGTGAATGTTCTTCACTGAGGTATGGATTCCCTGTCCACCCTGTATTTTCTCCTTTTTCCCCCCCCCCCAGATACTACTCAGTTCTGTACCCGCTAGAGAGGAAGATATCAGATGCTAAGTCCAGAGACCTGGTTATCTACATGTGGGTCCACGGTGTGGTGGCCAGTGCGCCAGTGTTCGCTGTGACCAACGTGACGGACGTCTACGCCACTGCACTGTGCTCGGACGGCCGGAGCCGCTCGCTCGGACACCTGGTCTACGTGGTGGCCTACAACGTGAGCACGGTCATCCTGCCGCTGGCGGTGGTCTTCTTCTTCATGGCCCTCATCCGGCGAGCCCTCAGCGCCAGCCAGAAGAAGAAGGTGATCATCGCAGCGCTGCGCACGCCGCAGAACAGCATCTCCATCCCGTACGTGTCGCAGCGCGAGGCCGAACTGCACGCCATGCTGTTGTCCATGGTGCTGACCTTCATGGCGTGCAGTGTGCCCTACGCCGCCCTGGTGGTCTATCGCTCGCTGCTGGACATCTCCGAGGTGTCAGCCTTCCTGCTGCTCACTGCGGTCTGGCTACCCAAGGTGTCGCTGCTCGCCAACCCGCTGCTCTTCCTCACCGTCAACGGCTCGGTGCGCCGGGGCCTGCTGGGCGCCGCGGTGCAGCTGCAGCGCCGCTACAGCCGCCGTAATGCCGTGCGCTCGGAGGGCCTGGCGGAGGTGGCGGGCGAGCCCGGCGTCCGTTCCGGCAGCCAGTTGCTGGAGATGTTTAATATCGGCCAGCAGCAGATCTTTCGCGCCGGTGAGGAGGAGGAAGAGGATGGGAACGTGAACGAGATGCTCCCCGTGGGCCCCGTGGACCCTGTGGGCGCTTCACATCGGAACGGCGCGGAGGCTAGACCGCTGCAGGGGTCCGCAACCAAGGGGGTGGCGACGACTGCCGCCACGCCCCCCCGCGCCTCCCCGCCGCAAGTCTGCGCAGAGTCTTCCTCCCAGGTGGCCCCGGCAACACCATCTGACCCAGATGAGGGGAGCGCCAAGTACTCCACGCAGTTCGGCTTCGGACCTTTCGAGCTGCCCCCGCAGTGGCTCTCAGAGACCAGGAACAGCAAGAAGAGGCTCCTCCCCCCACTGGGCAACACCCCCGAAGAGCTCATTCAGACCAAACAGCCCAAAATCCGCACGACGGAGCGACGCATTAGCAGGAACAACAAAGTCAGCATATTCCCCAACGTGGAGCCCTGACACCTGATTGGATCCCAGCATCCAGCACCCGCCCCTTCCTGTTTGACAGTTCTTCTCTGGAAGACCAAGAATCTGTTTCGGAAACACAGAATTCTGCAGATCCATTCAGTAAACAGTATTCGGTTTCACCCCCTCCCTCTTATGATGAATTGCTCTCAATCACACTGTGATCTGACACTTTTGTTGTTTGTATTCGTATGCTGAAAGCTGCTGATTCTTGGAGCAGAAGCAGTTAAAACTGTGGTGTATGAACTCATCCGCAGCTTTGTCACTAGAGTGGTGGTTCTGAGCTACACATGTGTCACGGGGTGTTTTGAACCTTGTCACAAGAAAAAAGGCGAATGATATTCTTTGCCTGTAACATCATGCGGGTCTCTTTCATGCTTTCCTCACAGCTGCACTGAAAAAACTGATGGAAATATGTGGTCCTTTCACAGTTTAAAACAGCTTTAAATGTTACTTTTAAATGCTGGTTACTAGTCAAGTGACTAATACACTGAGCTATTTAAGAGTCAGACTTTCCAGAAGAATAGCCTATTGTTAATTTTTATTCCGAACTTCCAGCTTTTACTTTTGATTCTTTCTGTATGTTTACTGAATAGAGTTAAAGGAAAAAAAATTTTAAATTCATAAACATTTAAAATTTGTTTACTTAAATCATGGTAGCTGTGATGAGGAGGATGATGTTATTGATTCTTACCGAGTTTAATGTGTTTAGCAAACTTTCCATTTGTTCAGAGAGTATTTCCAATTTAAGACTGGGAGCAGGGTTTGAATTACAAAGTGGCTTTTGGGGGAGCCCTGCTTTCCAGTGTGAAGCACGACTTCCCAAGTCACATGCACATGCATACATATAAGTGCACAGCAGCGCGGTCAATAATAGGGTTACTGCGAAAAACATTCTACTATTACTACTGCAGGCAGTTAATTATTTTATATTATACATATTTATATTATTATTTTTTTTATTTCAGGAACCTTAACGTACAGAAAATGAAACATAACCTATAACACAAAAGTGAATAGTTTTGTAGAACTTCCCTAAAGGTCTCGGAGGAGGGAAGGGAGCTCTTGTCCTTTTTTGAGCTTCCCTTAGCCCCTCTGTAATTCAAACCATGACTGGGAGGGACCTGTAAAAGGAGACAGAGGAAAATGTGAATATCAGCAGCATAAACCAATTAACTGTAATAATTTTCTGCCAGTAATATTTATTTACAGGTCGTAGCCAATGATATATGCTTACATGATAAATGAGGCTTTATATGGCAGCACACGCTTGTTTGTGTGAGGTGCTGGGGAATGCAGCACCACATCTGTACGCGATCACGCGAGTCAGTATAAACCCCCATTCATTTAGTAAAAATTGTTGCAGGATTAATTTCTTGCCATATAATCCTGTTTTGTATAAACAATATACAGTATTCAATATTACTTTGACAGACACTTGTATGAGATGTACATGTAATTATGAAATGACATTTTTATCTAAGAAACCAATGGACCAAGTAATTGCTGTTCATTTACACAGGATTTCACCTTTATGCTTTCCCGTTAATGTTTTCTTAATTACCACATAATGTCTCATGTATAGAGATCATCAGTATCTTTTTTTTTATTGCTTTTGAGATTCTAATCTTCAGTTTTCCCAGAAATCCTTGGTGGTGAAAGGTAAAAATTAGTGTACATGACCGTGAAATGCTGACAGTGAATTGGGTACGAGTATGGGCTGTTGGAAAGAGTTTTGGAAAAAAAAAATAAAGCTTTGCATCAGAGCTATGACCAAAAATGACAAAAAGAGATGTTCTTATAAGGTGAGAGGTTTGTAAAACTGGCCTTTATACATGCACATGACAACTGAGGACTTTGAAATAAGTTGATAAGTATTTCCACACATTATGTAGAGCAGGGATTTTCAACTCAGGCCCTCGATTCCAAATCCAGGCCTTGTTTTCAGTTCTCCCAGGTAGTTAATTTAATAATTACTGATTCTGATTGGTCAGAGGCTTCACACCTGGCTCACAGGTAAAGGAAGGCTGGAAAATCAGCAGGGCTCGGCCCTTGAGGGCCGTGAGTTGAATAGCCCTGATGTAGAGAATGGCTTGTGCATCCTAAAGTTTTGCCAAAGTGATAAGGTCCGTCAGTAGAAGTTCACCATCTGCTGGTGCCGAGGCCTTTGGCATTCCGGTCGTTGAGTCTGACGGGCCCCTTGAGCTGCCTCTGTAATGACCCTCCAAGCCGCAGGGCCCTTTCCACTTTTCAGTGGGCGTCTGGTCTTACTGCCTGAAGACAAATGAAGCTGAGCCACAGAAAAGGGAGCATTGAGCTGAGAGAAGACCTGATTTCACTGATGAATAAGGAAGGACGACTCCCGGAGATCCGTATCAGGTAAGGCTGGTGCTTTTGTCGTCGCTGGATTTCACCCCCTGGAGACCGCATTTCACATTCCCTTCTCAAACTGTGTACCTCAGTGACAAGGTCTAACAAATTAACCCTGAGGGCAAACTAAACATGCACTACCGCTATTGAAGGGATAAATGGATTTGCACAGCAGAATTTGACCCTGTTGCCAAAAGTGGCCAGTCTGGAGTCCGGCGTGTTGGCTTCCCAAAGCGGGCTGGTCTGTCATTGGTCATAATTTTACATAAACATTACAGTCTAATGCAGGACAATGCAGGACAACACGCTTCTATGGGTACAGAGTGAGCTGGCGGTCAACAGCCGCATACCTGTCAGACTTCACAGTTGGGTTTTCCTTTCTCTTCTTTAACGAAGAAGTGCTCTTCAGACCTTCATGGTTTCCTCCAGCGTTCTTTTACTGCCAAAGTGACGGCAGAATCGCTGTTTCTTACTGCCATCTTCAGGCTCTACTGACTGATTTCCACCATAAGGGCTTTTCATCACAAATTCAGCCCTCTTTCACATATTTTGACCGATTTACTCAAAAATATACTACGAGTCAAAAGTTTTGCACACCCTTAGATTTTCTACATTTGCATTTTACCCACATAACATTTACTCAATATTCTTTGCAATGAAATAAATGTACAATTTATTTCAAGTTCACCATTTGAGTTCCTTTAATAGCAAGAAAATGTCATATACTTGATTCATCAAAGTAACCACCTCTAGCAGTTATAACGGCAGAGAAAATTCAAGGTATTCTTTCTACAAGGGACATTAAATAATGCTCTGTTACATAGGGTGAAACAGTTAACCAGTGCATTTAAAGTTAAAGGACAGCCTAGAATTTGACTATGCCATCACCACACAGCCAGTCCATGGGATCTCAGACATGCACTGTTACATACTCTTTCCATATTACAAAGGAAACTTGTTTTATATTTTCATTTATAGTTGTTCACTCAACTTTCCAGTGCTTAAGAATAAAAATTCTGCAGTTTATGAAGTAAATGGAAAACTGGCAAAAATCTGTGGTGTGCAAAAACTTTGGACTGCTACTGTATGTTCCATGAATGTATTTTGGACTGTAGGTTTCATGCTATTTTCCCCCCTGGATGATTTGCTGTGGTTTCTTGTTGCCTTATCTATTTTTCGGAGGTTATTTTATAGTTGTAATGCGATTTGTAAGACCCGGACTTTGAAGCCAATTTATTGTGCTTTTATTTGAGCTCAATGACTCATCATGTGTTGGTAGTGGTAGGGTTATTGTTGTCTTCTGCTGAAAGCAATGGCACATACTGTAAGGCTGTCTGCTGGTACAGAGTAAAGCCTTGTGCTGATGCTGTCTGTCTGCCGCCTAATGCAACAACCTTTAAGTTGACCTCTTGCCTTCTAAATAAATGTAAAGGTAAAGCTTGTATTGAAAAGCAAGGGGTGGGGGTGGGGGGGTCCTAGATCAGAGTCATTTGTATAACAGTCCATTCAAATACTCCTATTACTATTAGAGAAGGGTGACAGACGATCAGTGTTTATAATGCCAAGTCTATTTGTATGTGTGTGTGTTTTTTTTATGCTGCCAGAACTATTCCGCTGGAGGTGTAATTTATTCTGTTGAATAACCGACTGCAGGCTGGGTTGCCATGACCTCAGCCGCCATCGCAGATTTCGCTGGGTGAGCTCCCGCTTCAGCTGTGTCACTGATGGTTCAAAAGGGTCTTTCAGTGGTTTAAGTGGACAGCATTGGGCACCTGTCTTCCCACCAATTAGCAACTCTGCTGTTAACGTCCTTGTACGCAATTGCATTCACAAGGCCGGTGTGAACAGAGTGAGAGGCAACCCTCATGCTTCCACTATTTCAAGAGGACACAGGCATACATTTAGACTGAGGCTGCCACATAACATCTGTTTCCATGTAAAGGGGTTTCCCTTGGTGCCAGAACATTAGATAGACCCACTACATCTCTCAGCCCAGCTGGATTACCAAGATGAATGAATTATTGGCGCATTATATTGTAAGCCGTACATTGTGCAACAGAAATGAGACAGTGTTGTGTCACACAGCACTCTCACGAAAGACCCTCGATCCGTCACCGTGGGTGGAATGGAATTTTCCCAGAGAGTTCAGCTTTGCCTGCCACGGTGCAGCCGGCCCGATTTTGACAGACAGCTTAATTTGGAAGGGTTGCGGGACACAGTGCCTGTCAGGAAGTGTGATTTTTGTTGCCAAGTTGCGGAGCCGCAATGTTACAGCCAGTCAAGGACGGAAGCGACTTTGTTACTCTTAACTTCATCTGCCCTAGTTTAAGTGCTGCACTCTTATTTACATTGGAGAGTCATTAAGAACACAGCTGATAGTGGGAGATAATGAATTATAAATGTAATCTATTTAAAATAACACTTACCAATGGCTTTATCTTTGAAATGTATTTTTTTCCAGACATATCCCCATGCTAAAAGCCTTTAGCTGAATATTTATTCATTGCCTTCGTAAGACTTTTTTTTTATTTTAGTCTATAATTAATGACCAGGTTTCTTTTAAAAGCTACTTTTCAGGAACGCTGAAATAATGATCTTTTGTGTGGCTGGTGTTAGCTGTAGCATGGTAACGCTATTACACAGGTCACAGAATTACTTCTGAACTTGCATATCAACAATTGTATTTCCAGTGCTGTTGTTGCCATTATTATTACAGGAATGAATCCATCCACGTGCAATAGCAAGGCCCCGAAGACTCCTGGGCTATTTAGCTGTCCACAAAGCTCTGGATTATGCAAACATATGTTGGCCAAGACTGTGACTCATGCAAGGCAGAATATCCCCAATTGCAAATAAAAAAAAATGTCTGATGGAAACAAAGAGGATCTGGTGGAGACTTTGAGAGGGTTTGTGAATGTTTTTTTTAGGTTGAGTCTTAGCCTGTCATGTGCAGCCATCTCAAGGAAGAGTAGTGCTGCCCCAAAAAGCAGCTCACTGGTCGAAATGGATCAGTTTTTGACAAATGCGTAACGTGAACAAAATGTTAAACTTGTTCAAATACAAGACATTTATTATACCAAGCAGACCTAATACAATACTTTTCACGTGGCTTTTATAGTTCTTTGCAAGCTCATTAGAATTACTTTCTTCCCACGTGTCCTGATTATACAGAATTAGAGCGTTTAACCAAAGTTCCATTCCGAGCAACTCTGTTCTGTCCACAGAATACATGCACAGAACCCTCAGGGGTCACAGGTTATATAACTACTGAGGATTATGAAAGGCTGTGAAACTCAACACAGACAGCTGAGGCGAAGCAGGAGACTTATTCTTCTGTATTCTTCTTAAGAAAGAAAACTGGTGCAAGTCGTGTAGATACTGGAAAAAGGCTACTTCGCAAACGGAGGGCCAACCCAATCCAAATGCTTTGCATATAACCGAATGCACTTATAACCATGTGTGTCAGTGCATCAATAGATATTATAAAGACAAAATACTTCCCAGCAGATGGCCCTGGAGCGGCCCAGCCAGCTAAAACAGTCATGCTGGGAAGGTGGGTTGAAGCCTAGGTTAAGTCAATAACTGGGAGTTCAGCTGCAGTGGAAAAGTACATTGCTCTGCTATCTATGCGGAGCGTAACCTGCTTTTCACCTGGCTGCCATGTCAGCACGTCCCGGAAGAGATGCGGCACTGGTCCCACTGGCACTGACGTGTGAGGGAGCACTGGGCTTGCTTGGGCCACACACCCACAGCCCATAAAAGGTCCTAGCAGGGCCAAGGAGCTTTGACTTGGAATTGGAAAGAGCTAAATTAGACTGAAACTATCCAGTGTGAATTATAGTCATTAAATGCAACTGCAGGCTACATCATCTGTTTCTAATGTGCTTTCTTTTCCCCAAGTGGTTTACGTTGTTAGCAGTGTAATTTCTGTGGCAGCACAGAACCTATTCTGAGCTAGAATGCCCACCACACATCACAGAGGGGAAAATAATTAAATAAAGTTAAATACAGGCAAAGACAAAGTGACTAAGGAAAATCACCAGCCCCATGCAGTCTATGTCAAGGTATGGTCTCCTAGTTTGCCCAGATTGTATTCTGCCATCTAGTGGATGAAAAGTAACACCTCCACCAGTAACCCACAGTAGATTGTCCCACAGTAAGATGGAACATGCCTGATGAAAATGGCTGCTGTCCACACCAGAAATTTCAGTGTAATTCACAGCAAATTCAGGAGAACGGCCGATTCCCCACACTGTCGCAAAGCAAATACTGTTTTTAATATTTACTCATGTTAGTTTTAAGTTTTATTTGTGTGTGTGGAGTTTCTCCTGCAAGAAACGGCATAAGCTGCTGTAAATGTCAGGCTTGGCATGATGCCTTCTCTTTATCCAAAATCTGGTGAAAATTCTTTTCGGCATCAGCTGTAGACGTCTACATGTCTACATAGCAAATCAAGCCTCCTGGCTAATGCAGAACTTAGGCTGATGCCATTTCCTGTCTTTTCAAAAGGCTCACAGCAAAGCACAGCATTTGGGCCTCTCTGCACCAACGGCCGACTGCCAAGCCAGAGCCGTGATACCCGAAATGCCCTGGACAATGATGTGATTCGATAAAATCAAAATCGAAGATCTGCTTTCCTTAGAATAGTGAGCAGATATTAAAGGAATCGTTTCTACAGATAATCGGAGACTCTGGATCCCTAGCAGAATACAGCAATACTTGAGACGCCGCTGTCAGCTTCCACAAGCTAGTCAAGGATTTTCCACATTGTTTTTGTTGCCTGAGCTTGGAAGGCATAAGGTGTATTGATCACATGTGAGCAGAAAGTTAGAAAAAGGAAGTTCTAGATTTGGTAGGCAAAGGGATAAATGAACAGACAAAAGCCCGGCACAAAGCAAGATTAATTCAAAGAATGAGGAAACATTATACAAGGTGTTATGTTACAGGGGCAGTTCATTCAAGACAGTCATCTTCCAGTATACAGTGGCATATCCACACAAGAATAACTGGCTTCTTTTTTCCTTCTAACCTCTTCCCAGTATAAGCTTTCTACCCTGCAGGGGAAGACTGTCCAACCCCCAAGGTGGGTAATCAGTCACTCACCGTGTCCCTAAGGCATTTTTTGACGTTACATTATTTATGGCAGCCACTCAGCATCCCCTGCTGGCAGGTAGAATCCCAACAGACCACTGTGTCACACACCCATCCAGGCACAGAGATTGGCAGGAATTCGACACAACTTCAGGCAACAGAGACTTGGCTGGAACCTCTGCCACAACACATTGAATGTTGAGGTTCCTTCTAAATCGTGGATGAAATCTTGCAGGTTAGCTACAGAATCTCACTCACATCCCGCATCCAGTGCAGCAGGGAAGGAGACTCAGGAGACAGGTATCCTTCAGTATTCCCTGCGTAGAAATTGCACTCGCCACAGAGCAGCCATTCTTCTCCACCAGCATCCACCACACATGCAGATTTAACCACGATTCTCTATTAGTGTCCAGCTCACGCTTCACGCCTAAATCATTGTCTGCGACAATCATCGATTGCTAACTGTGTCCCATTGGCACTACTAAAGGCGCAGTAACTGCCAGCGCCTGAGCTGCTGATCACCTCCTGCTGGTGAAGGGTGGATTCACAACAAGCTTTTGCATCACACACTCCACTGCCGGACAGATACCTTATCTGTTACTCTTAGCACATTCAGACTCTGTATGACAATTATTTCAATCCTTTTGGAACTTGAACAGACCAAAGAGTTAGTTCATGATTTAAACAGATTGTCGCTAATATTAAAACAAGTTGACTAGTTTTTTACTGTCTTACTAGCTTTTATAGTTGTCTTTTGTTTCTCTCTTGTAAAGAAGATATTACATGGAGGAAAAATTTGGAGCCTCAAATGGATGGATGGAAAGACAAATTAGGTTTATTTTTGCAATACAATATGGTAATTTGGTTAGTTTATTCATTAGTAAAACAGACCTTGAGTGCTAATAATGAGTGCATCGTAATTCTTTACAGTGTACCACAACTGAGATCCTTACATCTAGCATGGACAGTAACTGATTTAATGGTGCGTTTTATTTTTAAATGGCCACAACTTCACTGATGAACACCCACTTTGAATAAATTGTCCTTTTCTATCAATGTATAATTAAAATCTGAAGTGTCAATTAGGGTCAAAAAATCAATTTGAGTAAAGGCACAGCGCTTGCAAAAAAAAATGAATAATTATAGGAAGTATATGTCTCTGAAAATGAGAGGCAATTTAGAAAAATGCTGACTATTACAATACTATCAATGGCTCTCAACTGATTATAACATCAACCTAGAATGGTTGGAGCAGGAGAGAGAAGGAGAACACTGAGGAGGAAAGACAAAGAGGGAGGAGAATGAGAGAGGAAGAGAGAGGGAGAGAGCCCACTCCTTAGATGGAGAGTAAAAATCACCATGGCAACAACATTCATTTACCCTTCAGTCCTTTCAGTAATCATTCCTGAATATAATACTATCCCTATCTGCAAGAGCAGGAAATTGTATAAAAATCATTTTCATTTGCAATAAAAGTTCCTTTCTGCTATCAACATATATATCATTGTAGTCATTCCAACTTATTTTGCATAATTATAGCTCTGATAATTTTCTTAACATTCTTCATTTTAGCAAGCATGCATAACTTGTGCACAATTTTGGGGGGTTTGTATACGGCGGGTAGGAAGGGCAGCTAGAGTAAGTTTTTCTTGTTGTTGGGCACTTCATCAAATCATTAGAAACCTGAAGACCTGAACACCTACGCACACAGAACATAAAATATTTTAGAAAGATTCAAAATTTTATTTGATAACTTTTCATTATTTGTGATACGACGTTCTACCAGAAATCCAGTCAGTGCACAGCAGCAGGTGCTCCGGATCATGCAGTTTCCTCATAACAGTACCAACAGGACAAGGCTGGCAGCCAATAACTGCCCCACCCAGGGGCCAGGACAGCATTCCCAGCAAGGCTTTAGACCCATCCTGGGAAAAAATGGCATGTGAGCTCAGTATGCATTCTCTGATCTACAGAAGAAAACTGGGATGAAGATCGTTGCTTTAGGGCAAGAGATGCTTCCCCTTGAAATGGCAAGGGCCACCTCTTTGTTGCTGCAATGTTTCTTTGAAATTTTCTGTATTTCCTTGTCTACCACACTGAGAGGGAATGTGGGTGAGAAGAGATACTATAGCTGACCTGTGAGGCCTTATATGCAAAGGGATCTTTGCAGCTTATGCTGCAGTACCGAATGTAGATATTCCTAAATTGCAGTTAGGATCATCACCAGCTTATTTTTCCCTGGAAAAAAGGAGAGATGGCTTTCTACTTGCCTATTTCTAGTGATGGATAAAATGATGTTTCGTGAACCGTTTGCTGTATTTTTTAACCCCACTAGTAGGCGCTCCTGGTCTGCGTTGGGGCATGCTTTGTACCCTCTTTTGAACAGACAGCACCATCTAGTGGGGTCAAAAAATACAGCAAATGCTTCATGAAACATCATTTTATCCATCACTAGAAATAGGCAAGTAGAAAGCCAT